GCATTCTTCCGGCGGCAGAATGAAAAAAATCATCCCTCTTTCGCCTCCCACTTCGAGCGATAGAACTATTAACAAAGCAGGCCTTATATAGCTAATAAAGGGCTGGCTTATCTAAAACCCAGTCGAGTAAGCACTTGAAATGTTTTAGCTCTATGAAACCTGATGTACTTACTATGATTCTGTTTTCCTTCCCAAGTTTGTATTTTTGTTGGTCGATTCGCACTTATTGTAGTCACTTTGGAATTAAAAGCGTCCAGGCTAAATGGCAATTTTAAATGTAATGTAACAACAGCATTAGCAAACTGTTACGCACCCGCCCCCTCTACTTAGTGGATAGAGGCTCGTGGGGGAGAACCCCGCAAGCATAAAATACAAACACAGCAAACACGCAGCAATTTAACCGGCGATCATTTATTTAGACACCAACCGTACTGCCAAGCTGGCGGCAACCGCAAAATGTAACAATGGGGCCTGTGAGACAGGAAAAATAAACTAAACTAAAGGACGAAAGGGGCCTGGCAGCCCACACCCACGGCCCGTAGGACCGCAGAGCTTCCTCCGGCTAGCCTCAAGCAGATCTAAACAAATCCCTGTGGCCCAAAATAAAGCCCGTGAAAACGCTACACCTACCTGGTCCTCCCAGAGTAGGCCTACATAAAAGAGACAAAGTCACACAAGGAATCTACAGAATCCTTAAACAGCAGAAAGAGGTAGTTCCACCGGACAAAAGTCTTCCCGGCATCCGGGATAGGGGAAGAAGCCCTCCTTCTTCTTCTTCTTTTCTTCTTTTTCTTTAATGGGCGAATCGGCTTCCAGCCTTGGAAGCATATATTGCCGGGCCGCAGCCTACTGTTTAGTATTAATATGATCAATACTAAATCGCTTGTCCTCAGAGCCAGTGCTTTTGAGGAAATTGAAGAATCAGCTTGTTTGGCTTGCATTTCTTGATTTACTTTCAAATACTTGCCTTGAAATCCATGTCCTTGATGTTGAGTTTGTTCCAGTGCATTAGTTTTCAGAATGAATCTTGTCTGTTATCAGTCCCGGGCAGCTAAAAAATACATGATCGTATTGCCTGGTTGTTGGCACCATCAGCAATTGGGCCATTTGGATGTTTCCAATCAGATGCCAGTGAGAGTTTAGTCCAGGTAGTCCCCAATTTTTTCCTGGGCTGTTGATGCTCTGCTCTCCTTCCAACTAAACTTCCCCCCCAAGTGCTTGCCTGTTCCTAACTTCGCCTTTTGTAATCTGATATAAATGTCTTCCCTTTGGTGTTAAATGTCCCATAGTTTTTGCCCATTGTTTGCTTGATAAGCCACTTTAGTAAAATATTTGACTTCGGCTCTATCTGATGGGTACCTTAAAATATCAATCTGGTTGGCTTTCAACCAGCATTTTGCCAGTTGATCCACCTACTTCATTCCCTCTAATGCCCACATGGCGCTGGAACCGACACAAATTGAAGCAACAATTCCCAGATGAACTAAGCCTAAACATGCTTTGTAAAATTTCAGTATAAATGATCCTGAGCGACATTCGAGCGAGAAGTGTTTATACTCTCCAGAGCTGCACTGGAGTTCAGAGCAAATGACCACTCGCATTGGCTGTTTACTCCCCTCCCTAACCGCCAGCTGAAGTGCTAGAGAGATAGGCCATCATCCTCTACTGTATATACTGCTAATGTGATCCCTTGTACGACTTTCCCACTTTGACTTTTAACTCAGGAACATAAATGCACACTGTTAGATGCCATTTCTGGATTTTGGATCGCCATCAGTTAATATTTTTATAAAGTGGGCCCATAATTGTTTCATGTAGAACAGTGTTCACATAAGCCTGTACATTGAATTTGTTTTTCATTGAATGTAGCCCGTTTGCAATATTAAATCTACTATATGGTTGAGGTAGCAACAAAATGGTGGACAGCAGCTGATAACCAACCACCCGTCGGAGCTAAATATTCCATTTTTTAACTTTGATTCCCTTAGCATATTTCGCAAACACAAAAACAAAAACTTGTTCTTTTTTTATTTTTTACTTTGCGGCCACTTGTTTGTACAGTTTGTTTAGTGGGTGAGTATTTATGACCCTGTAGACTTTGCCCAGTAAATTAAGCAATTAATCTGGTTTCACCCTCAAAGAAATAGGTACTGTCTCGCGACCTCTACCTGAAGTGGGCCCGACAGCTGGTGTAGAGTCTTGACTGCCCCCACCAGGTCATATCCTTAGTGCTAGGGGGGGGGGTAGTGCTTGTGCCTGGACTCTATCTAATTTTTGAAAGAGAAAGAGTATGCAGCTGACCCATACACATTAGTGCCGTATCATGGCTGATCTAATTAAGGCCGTGTATACGTCCTCAAGGCAAGCCTTTTATCAGCCCCCAACTTAGTGCCTCCAGCACCCTCATTAACATTTAAAACCTTACATTATCTACTACGACTTTATCAATGTGAGTATCCATGTGACTCTCTCATTCCAACCATTATTCCCCCCCAGAAAATTTAAATGTCTTCACTTTCTTTAGAATCTTGTCCCAT